TAGTGGTAGGAGGCCCTTTGACATCGGTATTTTATTGTTGGGCCCATAGCCCTGTATTATATGTAGAGAGACCGCAGGGCAGTCAGCTGGCTCTGTTTGGTAAGTGACAGTGACCTAGTATGGCCCCCTGGTTCTATTTGGTCAAGGACATAGAGCCAAGTGGCCATACTAGCTCAATGTGGGCAATGAAAATGTCCTAGTATGGCTACCTGGTTCTATGTGGTCAATGACAATGTCCTAGTATGACCACGTGGCTCTGTTTGGACACCGACGTTGACCTGGTATGGTCACCTGGCTCTTTGTGGTCACTGACGTTGACCTAGTATGGTCACCTGGCTCTATGTGGTCACTGACGTTGACCTAGTATGGTCACCTGGCTCTATGTGGTCACTGACGTTGACCTAGTATGGTCACCTGGCTCTATGGTCACTGACGTTGACCTAGTATGGTCACTGACGTTGACCTAGTATGGCCACCTGGCTCTTCATTATAGGTGTGGACACTGCGGGGCAATCCACAAGCCAAATCGGAGGGGAGAGAGGTGAGCAACAACTGCCATGGAACGGGGATCAGGTAAGTAAAAGTCCTTGTACTCTAACCCTGGACAAAAACAAGCCATTAACCCTTGCTGTGCCCCACTGCAAGGGTATTTTATTTATTTTTACCCAGAGATGGGCTTTAGTGCAGGGGTAGCCAAACTCTGGGCTACAACTACAAGTCCCATGAGGCATTGCAGTACTCTGACTGCCACAGGCATGACTCCCAGAGGCAGATACCTGATGGGATTTGTAGTTTTACTACAGCTGGAGGGCTGGAATTTGTCTACCCTTTGCTTTAGGCAATATAGTGGTGTCCAGTCTTTCCAATTTCTGCTCTAATGATATTGTGAAAGAGGCCGATGCCAAGTCACATTCAGGTATTTACACTCATTTCATTAAACCAATACATATACAGAGCTGCATTAATATGCGTCCTGCATATCTGCCTGGAGTTCAGCTTTAATATTCATCCAGCAACACCCTTCAACACCACCTGCTACGATCTCATGAAGAAGGAAACCAGTATGTGACCACATTAATAGGAGGGTGTAGCTGAGATCTTGCCACCTGGTAACAGCTTGTGCTCTCTACTTCCGGAGACCTCACTGTTTTTTTTGCACCTGAGCAACGCCTATTTCCGCAAATAGTTGTTTCCTGTTCCCCATGTGTCCCATTCACACCACATAGGAGCAGAGAGGCGTGGGAAAATGCAGCATTGCATGCACCGGAGTTCACCTAAAGTCTGTCTGCCTCTGCACTGAGCTGTGCTGCACCGAAATAAACAAAATGTCACTTTGTGATATTTCAATAAAGCTAAAAGAAAAAAAAAAGGGGGGGGGGGGTTGTTAAAAGGTTGTAAAAGAGCAAGGCACATTGGTGTGGAAGAGCCCTAAACCTCGGTCAGAGATGATCTAAGCTGGTGGTGGGTTCAGCCAGGACTGAAAAGGTTTTTGTTTTGTCTGGTAGGAGGACCTTTTCCATCATATGGGTTGGTGGGGATCGGTGTCACATGCTGCATTTGAACGCGGCTTTGTCCAAGCACATGCATTCAGACATAGTGCTGCCGCCTTACTTTGATGAGATCGTGTTAGGAGGTTGTAATTTTAGCTTAATAACACAGTTGCCCTCTCTGACACTAGTACCGTGTATTGGGGACCACAGGGAGGTCACCCAGCATAAGGTGTCGGATGGGCAAAAAAGGCATTTCACAAAAAAGGGCAAACATTAATCTGCTCCCATGTATATCATATAGACCAGAGGTAACCAAACTCCGGCCCTCCAGCTGTGGTGGAACTACAAATCCCATGAGGCATTGCAAGATTCTCACAGCCACAGACATGACTCCCGGAGAGAGATGCATCATGGGATTTGTAGTTTCACCACAGCTGGAGGGCTGAAGTTTGGCTACCCCTGATATAGACTGTGAGGGGCAGCTGCAGACCTGGTGTTCTATGGGGTTGAGGTCAGGACTCTGTGCAGGCCAGTCAAGTTCCTCCACCCCAAACTCGTTCATCCATGTCTTTATGGACCTTGCTTTGTGCTGGTGCGCAGTCATGTTGGAACGGGAAGGGGCCATCCCCAAACTGTTCCCACAAAGTTGGGAGCAGGAAATTGTCCAAAATGTCTTGGTGTGCTGAAGCCCTAAGAGTTCCCTTCACTGGAACTAAGGGGCCAAGCCCAACTCCTGAAAAACAACCCCACACCATAATCCCCCCTCCACCAAACTTTACACTTGGCACAATGCAGTCAGGCAAGTACCGTTCTCCTGGCAACCACCAAACCCAGACACGTCCTTTGGATTGCCAGACAGAGAAGCGTGATTGGTCACTCCAGAGAACACGTCTCCACTTCTCTAGAGTCCAGTGGCGGCGTGCTTTACACCAGTGCACCCGACGCTTTGCATGGCACTTGGTGATGTATGGCTTGGATGCAGCTGCTCGGCCATGGAAACCCATTCCATGAAGCTCTCTACACACTGTTGTTGTGCCAATGTGAAGGCCACACGAAGTTCGGAGGTCTGTAGCTATTGACTCTGCAGACAGTTGGTGACTTCTGCGCACTTCAGCATGCGCTGTTGTTCCCAGTTGCTTCCACTTTGTTATAATACCCGTAACAGGTGACCGCGGAATATTTAGAAGCAAGGAAATGTCACGGATGGACTTATTGCACAGGTGGCAACCTATCACGGTACCACGCTTGTAGTCACTGAGCTCCTGAGAGCGATCTGTTCTCTCACAAATGTTTGTAGAAGCGTCTGCGTGCCGAGGTGCGTGATTTTATACACCTGTGGCCATGGAGGTGATTGGAACACCTGGATTCAATGATTTGGAGGGATGTCCCAATACATTTGTCAATATATATTGTGTGTGTGTGTGTACCCTCTTACACCTACGAGCACACAGGGTAATACACTTGTAGGTGTGAATGAGCCCCTATTGTTTACCTTTAAAAACACATTAAACTGCTGTACACCTAAAAATGAATTGGGTTTCTTCTTGAAATGTGTTTTGCTGTAGGAGAATGGAGGAGTGTGAATAGACAATTATTACAGGTCGGTGTGCAGGCCCAGCTGCTGAGGAGACGCTATGCTGAAATAACTCCATGGCGTCTGGCCGGTCTTATCAGTTTGGCGCTCCGATTGCCGTGTTACAGCATTAAGTGGGTGTCTCTGGCTATTTACACCAGAATGTAACACAAGCCATATTTGCACATTTTGTTTTAGGGCCTGTTCACATGATATCAGGTCCTGATCAGGTGCGGATCTGCAGACTGATGCAGTGCGTTTTTGGCCGCGTTTTTGATGCGTTCAAGTAAAACAAAACAAATTTTTTCTTTTTTTTGGTTGAGTGGGGCTGTTAGTATGTTAGCTGCAGTGCGTTTTTTAATGTGTTTTTGACGCGTTTTTGCCACGTTTTGGACACGTTTGCGTTTCCTGACCGTTTCCGGACCTGACAAAATGTGACATGCAGTATTTTTTCTGTCGTAAGCTGAACGGACTGCGCATGTGAGAACTGTAGCCCATAAAACACATAGGGATACATTGGGATGCATTTTGAGTGCAGCAGCGTACGGAGCCGGTCAGCACACAAAACGGACGTCGTGTGAACAGGCCCTCAGGAAGCCAGGCCGGGCTGTGTAGATCATCCTATTAGAATGTGGTGCTTTTTCCTGCAAGGTCTCCTTTAGCAGTGCTATGACTCCTACACTAATTCACATCCAGTATCTTGGCTTAGGCCGGAGTCTGTGGAATATAAATGTTTTATGATGTTTGACCTTGTGTCATGTCGTGTTGTTCAGGTGGTAACAAGATTGATGTTTTATATATCCTCTCTGCAGGGAGGCCTATCTCACCTCAACATAATAACTGTCCTTTTACTTCTTCCGTGAACTCATCCCACACAACTATTACTCTTCTCACTCGCCCCTTCTTTTAGATTTCATGAGCAGGGTCCTCCTAACCCTCCAGTATTGAAATTGTATTGTAACTGTACTGTCTCTCCCTCATTTTGCCAATGGCATTTACCTAGTATGGCCACCTGGCTCTATTTGGTCAGTGGCATTGACCTAGTATGGCCAACTTGCTCTATTTGGTCAGTGGCATTGACCTTTATTATGGCCACCTGGCTCTATTTAGTCAGCAGAATTTACCTAGTATGTCCACCTGGCTCTATTTGGTCAGTGGCGTTGACCTAGTATGGCCTGGCTCTATTTGGTCAGTGGCATTGACCTAGTATGGCCAACTTGCTCTATTTGGTCAGTGGCATTGACCTTTATTATGGCCACCTGGCTCTATTTAGTCAGCAGAATTTACCTAGTATGTCCACCTGGCTCTATTTGGTCAGTGGCGTTGACCTAGTATGGCCAACCGGCTCTATTTGGTCAGTTGCGTTGACCTAGTATGGCCAACCGGCTCTATTTGTTCAGTGGCATTGACCTTTTTATGGCCACCTGGCTCTATTTGGTCAATGATATCACCAGCATCCCTCCCCTTTTGTTTACATGCAGCTTTGGGACAGGCAGTGGCAGCTGATTGGGCCGGTACTGACAGCTTCCTTCTGAGTTGGGTTTAGATCAAGTTCGTACCCAACCTGAGCTCATTCCAATTCAGGACAGAAAGTGGTGGGAAATCTCTCCTACCGGGAAGACGGAACGCATTTTTAGTGAAGTGGGGAAGAGTGGAAACTTCAGGCGATGGTTTTTTTTTTTTTTTTCTTGCTGTCTGTGCCTTCCAGTCCCGGTGACAAACCGCTCCCTCATGTCACATTAGTGTCACAGGGGTAGGAAGTAATGACAAATCTCCACTGTTGGGCCACAGAAATAAAAACCTCACAAATTCTTTACCTCCTTCCTTCTCTATCCAGAACTAGAAAACAAAACTGGTCGGAGTTGCTTTATTTGCTGGACTCTGCTTGTGGTGTTAAGTGTCTAACTGCTTTGCATGATTTGCATTTGTGTCCTCAGGTGGTGTACTTGCTGATGGGCATTCTCCTGACCGTGAAAGTGACTCATCCTGACACCGTGCCAGCAGTCGACATCCAGTATGAAGTTATCGGGAACTATTATTCCTCGGAGAGGGTGGCCGGTGAGTGTGTGGTCTTGTCCTCTCTGACGTAGCTGTAGCCGGCTGACATCGGTTTACATACCCCGTAGTGTTATGAGCTGTGAAGGTGGGTTAAGGTAAAGGGCAAAGGATTTGGGCAGCAAATGGGAACAAAGCTATATTTGCAATGTCTCCTTTTGCATTGATCAATTGACATTGACAGACGGACTGCATCCAGGGCTGTGCATCTATAACTACAGATGTAAAGCTCAGATGTGCAGGAAGATCTGTACAGCCGTTGTCACTGGCTAATACTTTTGTATTTATAAGGAACGCCATTGTTAAAATTATACCTAGTATCCTTCTTGGCCATGTATTGCCCATTTTTGAGGTTTCCACTGGAAGTTCTCCCTCCTTTATCACATTAGCCTTAAAGCTAACTCCAGGAAAAACAAAATCCCCTTGCAGTTGGAGTTCCCCCCTCCCCCCACACTGTAAGGCCTTGTTCACACCAAGCGCGGAGCAGATCCGAACCAGAGCAGGTGCAGACCAGATCAAAACTGCGTCCAATGTATTCCTATGGTATTTTGACCTCCACTTCACATCGCAGCGTGCGGATCCAGACCAGATCCAGACCGGATGAAAAAACTGCGGCAAGCCCTATTTTACCTGCTCTGGATCTGGTCTGAAACGCATCAAAAACGCATCTAAAACGCATGCAAGTGCCTGAAAGCCCATGTTAAACTTTAAAAAAAAAACTTTTTTTTTTTTACCAAAACCGGCCCTAAACGCATCCAAAACGCGGCACAACCCACTGCACTGCGTGTGCAGAAACCTGCCCGGATCTGGTCTGCATTGGGTGTGAACAAGGCCTAACGGTTACCTATTCATTTTTATCTAGGGCAGGGGTGGCAAACTCAAATTCATCGGGGGCCGCATCAGCAATCTGATGAAGGGGTACTTCTGAGACCCCGAAAGCAAGCGATTGTACTGAATGGCAATTTGTCATTAGAGGTCAGCAATGTGACGTGCAGTGCAGAGGTCAGCAATGTGACGTGCAGTGCAGAGGTCAGCAAAACGGTAGTGTTCCATCTCTAGTCCTGCCGGTGAGGCACCATTGCTGACATTTTCACTCGCCAATTGCGAGGGGGCGAGTGGGAATTTTGAGGCCTGACATAGGGCCATGAGGCAGGGCGGAGGCGGAGACTGAGCAAAATGAGGTGGCTGCTGTGCGGGCCACATTACAAGGTCCGGCGGGCTGGATTCGGCCCGCGGGCCTTGTGTTTGCCACCCCTGATCTGGGGGTTTTGTGTAAGGGACTTTCTTACCAT